TCTTAAATCATTTAACTTAGGCCTACTCCAACCAGCCTATGTCCGTCCCATACCCCAGACCTTTCCCCCTACAGATTTCAGTAAGGCTATCCCCAAGCATCTGGCCTCTCACTTTAGACAAACACACTGACGTGAAAACAGACATTCGCCCTCTTAGCATAATCATTATTTCTTTCACTTTTTTATATATTCCTTTATATATATATATATATATATATATATATATATATATATATATATATATATATATATATATATATATATATTAGTATATTTTGGTAGCAGTCTTTCCTGTAGACATATATTATTAAATATGACCGAAAAAGTAAGATTAATAATTCTAACACGAATTTTCTCAATCTTTCGTACATTTCTTTTCACTGTTGGAGGTAAATCAAAAATCAATTCTCCAAAATTCATTTTTATTTCTAGTCTGACGCGACACGAGCGCGTTTCGTAAAACTTATTACATTTTCAAAGACTTTAGTTTACAAATACACAACTGAATAGAACTTACGCATTTCCGATTTTATATCTACATTTGAGAGAGGTGGATGGGGTGAGGTGGCATTAATAGGGTATTAATTTCGTCAACACAAGACAGAACAAGAGGTGGTATTAATAGGGTATTAATTTCATCAACACAAGACAGAACACGAAACAATGGGTATTGAATAGAAGTGATTGTAGAAAGCCTATTGGTCCATATTTCTTGATGCTTCTATATTGGAGCGGAGTCTTGAGGTGGGTAGAATATAGTTGTGCATTAATTGGCTGTTGATTGCTGGTGTTGACTTCTTGATGTGTAGTGCCTCGCAAACGTCAAGCCGCCTGCTATCGCTGTATCTATCGATGATTTCTGTGTTGTTTGCTAGGATTTCTCTGGCGATGGTTTGGTTGTGGGAAGAGGTTATATGTTCCTTAATGGAGCCCTGTTGCTTATGCATCGTTAAACGCCTAGAAAGAGATGTTGTTGTCTTGCCTATATACTGGGTTTTTTGGAGCTTACAGTCCCCAAGAGGGCATTTGAAGGCATAGACGACGTTAGTCTCTTTTAAAGCGTTCTGTTTTGTGTCTGGAGAGTTTCTCATGAGTAGGCTGGCCGTTTTTCTGGTTTTATAGTAAATCGTCAGTTGTATCCTCTGATTTTTGTCTGTAGGGATAACGTTTCTATTAACAATATCTTTCAGGACCCTTTCCTCCGTTTTATGAGCTGTGGAAAAGAAGTTCCTGTAAAATAGTCTAATAGGGGGTATAGGTGTTGTGTTAGTTGTCTCTTCAGAGGAAAGTGAAACGCCATGCAACCTCTGAAGAGACAACTAACACAACACCTATACCCCCTATTAGACTATTTTACAGGAACTTCTTTTCCACAGCTCATAAAACGGAGGAAAGGGTCCTGAAAGATATTGTTAATATAGGCAAGACAACAACATCTCTTTCTAGGCGTTTAACGATGCATAAGCAACAGGGCTCCATTAAGGAACATATAATCTCTTCCCACAACCAAACCATCGTCAGAGAAATCCTAGTAAACAAAACAGAAATCATCGATAGATACAGCGATAGCAGGCGGCTTGACGTTTGCGAGGCACTACACATCAAGAAGTCAACACCAGCAATCAACAGCCAATTAATGCACAACTATATTCTACCCACCTCAAGACTCCGCTCCAATATAGAAGCATCAAGAAATATGGACCAATAGGCTTTCTACAATCACTTCTATTCAATATCCATTGTTTCGTGTTCTGTCTTGTGTTGATGAAATTAATACCCTATTAATACCACCTCTTGTTCTGTCTTGTGTTGACGAAATTAATACCCTATTAATGCCACATCACCCCATCCACCTCTCTCAAATGTAGATATAAAATCGGAGATGCATAAGTTCTATTCAGTTGTGTATTTGTAAACTAAAGTCTTTGAAAATGTAATAAGTTTTACGAAACGCGCTCGTGTCGCGTCAGACTAGAAATAAAAATGAATTTTGGAGAATTGATTTTTGATTTACCTCCAACAGTGAAAAGAAATGTACGAAAGATTGAGAAAATTCGTGTTAGAATTATTAATCTTACTTTTTCGGTCATATATATATATTTATATATATATATATATATATATATATATATATATATATATATATATATATATATATATATATATATATATATATATATATATATATATATATATATATATATAAGGACGAAACAAACTTAAAATAAAATTCAGAGGGAGGAATGTTTATCAAAAACAATTCTTCCTCACCTTACTATCTTCTCTCCTGTCCCTTCCCTCTCCTTCTCTCTCTCTTTCCCTCTTCCTTCCATCTCTTCCATCCTTCTCTTCCCGGCCTACTCCACCCCATATCCCCCTCCCTCCCTCCCTCTCTCCCTCTCTCCCTCGCTTCACAAATTACTTTGATGTGTCTGGAGGCTGTGTACTGTATCACACACACACACACACACACACACACACACACACACACACACACACACACACACACGCGCGCGCGCGCGCGCGCGCGCACACATAAAGACAGTCTATTTAACACAAGGGGAACACGCACAAGGGGACACAGGTGGAAACTGAGTGCCCAAATGAGCCACAGAGATATTAGAAAGAACTTTTTTAGTGTCAGAGTGGTTGACAAATGGAATGCATTAGGCAGTGATGTGGTGGAGGCTGACTCCATACACAGTTTCAAGTGTAGATATGATAGAGCCCAATGGGCTCAGGAATCTGTACACCTGTTGATTGAGAGGCGGGACCAAAGAGCCAGAGCTCAACCCCCGCAAGCACAACTAGGTGAGTACACACACACACGCACACACGGGAGCTCCCATCTCTAACACCAGCTCCTGGAAACACTTTTAAACACTGTGGGATGGATCTTCCAAACTGTTGTGTGTTTCAGGTGGTGTTGATGGAACCATCTGGCAGGTGGTTACACCAGCGCCACCTGCCAAATCACCAATTAACAGTCAGGTGATTTCCCTCCACATAACTTGCCAGTTAAGGTTCCCTTCATCATCACCAAATGATGATGAAACCATTTGACAGGTATTGATAGTGAGGGTGATGATAATAGTGATGATGGTGATGATAATAATGGTGTAGAGATAAGGTATATACCTCGCTGCTTTAAGGGGGGTAGACCACAAGGGTAGAGGCTGGTTTTCCTTTACAGTGCTTGACCCATTATTTAATAAGTATAGCAAACTAGGTAATCCTCTTCAAATAACCAAGTTGCATACGGAGTTGCAAATATATATGTAAACAGATAATTAGCATAATAGATAAGGGTGATGGGGTGGGGAGGGAGAGAGAGAGAGAGAGAGAGAGAGAGAGAGAGAGAGAGAGAGAGAGAGAGAGAGAGAGAGAGAGAGAGAGAGAGAGAGAGAGAGAGAGAGAGAGAGAGAGAGAGAGAGAGAGAGAGAGAGAGAGAGAGAGAGAGAGGGGAGAGACGTCCCTTGTCACCCAACCTTGCAGGATTTGACAGAGGGGTCAAACTATGTTCAGCACCTCCAATGATGTCAGGTCAAAGTCAGGTCAAGGTGTGTGTGTGTGTGTGTGGAGGGATGCTGGCGTTTTGGTGAAGAGAAATTTGAAATAGTTTACCAAACTCTGAGAACGTGGCATGTGAGGGGAGGGGGTGGGGGGGGTTGAATTATGGATGAGTTGTGGTGGTTGAGGGGAGGAATGTGAGAGATAAATCCCCCTCACACTGAGGTAAGACGAATCATCAAAGCTTGCCGTGGTTGTGCCTTTTCTTCACTCAGTCTAGGGGACCCTTCGTTGTCCCTTAGCTCTGGGGAACCGACTACCAACGTCTCAGTTGGACTGATAACTTGAATTTCCTCATGTTTCAAGACTTTTAAATAATGCTACCTTACTGCAGGTGCTGGTGTGTATATTACTGCTACAGCATCTACCTCTACTTCTACTAATCTACCACGGTAGACTCGTGTGGCTGTGCTGTACCCTTTTTAGAAAGATTTTCCCTGCCTTAGTTGTGATCATGAGAAGGACGTTTGGCTCCATCCCACACACACACACACACACACACACACACACACACACACACACACACACACACACACACACACACACACACACACACACACGCACACACACACGCTACGAGGCCTAAGGGGCCTCGTAGCCTGGTGGATAGCGCGCAGGACTCGTAATTTTGTGGCGCGGGTTCGATTCCCGCACCAGGCAGAAACAAATGGGCAAAGTTTCTTTCACCCTGAATGCCCCTGTTACCTAGCAGTAAATAGGTACCTGGGAGTTAGCCAGCTGTCACGGGCTGCTTCCTGGGGTGTGTGTGTGGGGTGTGGAGAGAGAATGAGAAAAAAAAAGTAGTTAGTAAATAGTTGATTGACAGTTGAGAGGCGGGCCGAAAGAGCAAAGCTCAACCCCCGCAAACACAACTAGGTGAATACTAGGTGCATACACACACTAGACCAACCCTATCACTCTACTAGACCAACCCTACCACTCTGCCTTCTCAAGACCAGTTAACGCACTCGCCATGCACTCAAACCCGCACATTCTGAGCACTAGTCGAGTGCCACTCAAAACCCCCTACCATAACTCCCTATCTGAGCATTAGTGGACGCACTCAAGGAGCACTCAAAACCCCTAGGTATTGGAACTTCCCCCAAGAAGGTCATCCATTGTAAGAATTATCCTCACTCGAAGTATACCCTTTATACTGCATTAAGTGTAAGTCACATGTTGTATTAGGTAAACCGCATGTTGTATGATATGTAGAGTGCATGTTGTATGAGGTGTAAACCCAAGTTAACTTCTTAACTTCAAGTTAACTTCTTAATGTTAAGAATGGTTGTATAAGATTGATATTTACTGTTTTAATAGCTCCTTGTGTCCTTATATAGATGATACATCAACTAACACTACTAGCAATTCAAACGGATCAAGGAAGCTATGACTACTAGCCCACGTTGCCTCTAGAAGAAGGGACTGACCTTGACAATGTCCGTTGCTCTTGTAAGAATTGACGTTAGGGGCGGGAAGAGCAGCCATGTGGGCGTGGTGCGCCGTACAACAGCACCAGCACCAGCAGCAGTAGCAGCAGAACTCCCCCGAGCGGTTCCAGAGGTCGCGGCAGCAGCTGATGGAGTAGCGGCCGTAGATGATGGGATTGACGACGGAGTTGCTGACGGCGATGATGAAGAGGAAGTCCTGGGCGTGCTTGTTCATGCTGTAGAAGGTCTTGGGGTCGATGAAGTTCCTGTAGGAGTGAGGGAGAGAGGGGAGGAGAGATCAATTACCTTCCTGAAGGAGGCAGAGAGGCGAAAGGTGTATTTTTGAAGATATCCTATTTTGATAACACACACACACACACACACACACACAAAACACACACACACACACACACACACACACACACACACACACACACACACACACACACACACTGGGGACAGGAGAAATGGGACAGGAGTCATTGCTGTAAACAACCGATAGCTGGAAAGGCGGGATCCAAGAGTCAATGCTCGATCCTGCAAGCACAAATAGGTGAGTACACACACACACACATGTGGGTACACCCACATGAGCCTCATGTGCAAGTACCCACATGAGCCACAGAGACGTTATAGAAGGAACTTTTTCAGTGTCAGAGTAGTTAACAGATAGAATGCATTAGGAAGTGATGTGGTGGAGGTACACACACACACACACACACACACACACACACACACACACACACACACACACACACACACACACACACACACACACACACACACACACACACACACACACACACAGCCTCTCCATTTCACGCATTCAAAGCATACTAATTAACTATTAATTCAGCCTCTGACAACTTCAGACAGGCTGGAAAAAGCCCAGCTGAGCCACCTAGCGGCAGGAACCTCAAACAACCCAACTCCTCGATCCCCACACACACAAAGAAAACAAGAATCAGGGTGACAGAAAATGGGAAGCAGCTATGAGTCTACCTCACACGGGCTCACCATAGCCCGTGCTACTTGCAACTTTGTTCCAGGTAGCGAATCTTTAACAACAACAACCACAACTGGAAGCAGGAAATTCTAGAGAGCTCAACCCGTCCACCTAGTAACACGTCGCAATTTTGACGTATACTCTAAGGCCAAAAACTGTCGAACTAGAAAATGATAGCGGCTTGCGAAATTGACAGACTGGCCCGTTTTCTGTTTTGGGTCCTCTGGTAGGTTAGGATAAGGGGGGACTTTAATCCGACAGTTTCTTGACGTTGCGAAGCCTTAAGAGGACAGGCTGGAGAGCTACTTGAAACCCCAAATATCAAGACAAGGAACTTGATAATGGCCCTGGACGGACCGAAACATCGTCGTCTCCTCATCTTCTGGTGTGTGTGGTTTAAAGTCTTCAAAAATACCTGTTAGGCTCACCTGGATAGTTTCGTCACCGAAGAGACCACCTGGAACGCCCTCCAGGAGGCACCTTGAGCTACTTTCAACTTCAGAAGTCACCTAGAACACCTTCTAGGAAGCACTTGAGACACTTACATCTAAGGAAGTCACCTAGAACACCCTCCAGGAAGCACTTGAGACACTTACATCTAAGGAAGTCACCTAGAACACCCTCCAGGAAGCACTTGAGACACTTTTACCAAAGGAAGTCACCTAGAACACCCTCCAGGAAGCACTTGAGACACTTACATCTAAGGAAGTCACCTAGAACACCCTCCCGGAAGCACTTGAGACACTTACATCTAAGGAAGTCACCTAGAACACCCTCCCGGAAGCACTTGAGACACTAACATCTAAGGAAGTCACCTAGAACACCCTCCAGGAAGTACTTGAGACACATCTAAGGAAGTCACCTAGAACACCCTCCCGGAAGCACTTGAGACACTAACATCTAAGGAAGTCACCTAGAACACCCTCCAGGAAGCACTTGAGACACATCTAAGGAAGTCACCTAGAACACCCTCCAGGAAGTACTTCGGGGCCTTTTGGAGAGCTTCATCTCCTACTGACATCAACTACAACAATCACAGCTTCCATGAAGCAAAGAGACCACAGGAACACACACACATCGGAAGACAGAAGAGTTAGGGCGGACATGATCACCACATTCAAGATTCTCAAGAGAACTGTTAGGGTTGATAAAGACAGGCTATTTAACACGAGGGGCACACGCACTAGGGAACACAGGTGGAAACTGAGTGCCCAAATGAGCCACAGAGATATTAGAAAGAACTTTTTTAGTGTCAAGAGTGGTTGACAAATGGAATGCATTAGGGGGTGATGTGGTGGAGGCTGACTCCATACACAGTTTCAAGTGTAGATGTGATAGAGCCCAATAGGCTCAGGAACCTGTACACCTGTTGATTGACGGTTGAGAGGCGGGACCAAAGAGCCAGAGCTCAATCCCCCGCAAGGACAATTAGGTGAGTACACACATATAGTAAATGATGAGAAATGGGGTTACAGGAAGATAAGAGAATATCTGGGAGAAGTGCAGTGGGAAGAAGAACTAAGAGGAAAAACAGTGCAAGATATGATGAACTTAGACAAGTGGAAATGCAAGGAGGTTATCTTGAGGTTATCTTGAGATGATTTCGGGGCTTTAGTGTCCCCGCGGCCCGGTCCTCGACCAGGCCTCCACCCCCAGGAAGCAGCCCGTGACAGCTGACTAACACCCAGGTACCTATTTTACTGCTAGGTAACAGGGGCATAGGGTGAAAGAAACTCTGCCCATTGTTTCTCGCCGGCGCCTGGGATCGAACCCAGGACCACAGGATCACAAGTCCCGAAGATAGTTATATACCCACAGTAAATTAAATAATAGCAGGGAATATAAAAACCCATTAGGTGCAACTGAGCCAGGAATTAATACATTAATATAAGAAGAGTATCAGAAAGGAATTATGAAAACGATATTGTAATGACAGCGAAAAAGCAACCTTAATTACAACATAGTCATATAAGAAAGAAAGTGTCGGTGAACGACCAAGTGACAAGACTAAGGAAAACTGAAGGGGCATGTACAGAAAGTGACAAGGAAATATGCGAAGTACTGAATGCCAGTTTGCATGGAGTGTTCACAACCAAGCCTGAGTGGCTCCCATTGTTAGAAGAGGAGATGACCCAAGATTAGAGACCAACGGAGATAGAGGATATAGAGGTGACAATATTGGAGGAAATGATGAAACAGTTGACAACACTGGATGCAACTAAAGCAGTTAGACCAGACAAAGACTTGAACAAGTTGCTGAGATGGTCAGAGAGAGGGCTACTGGAGTTCAACACGAACAAGTGTAAAGTTATGGAAATGGGATTAGGTGACAGGAGACCAAAGGGACAGTACACAATGAAGGGGAACTGCCTACCTGCGACGATTCGAGAAAGGGACCTGGGAGTGGATGTGACACAAACTCACCACAAACCCCCATCAACATCCCCCCTCCCCCCCATCACCCCCCTTCCTCCCCCCTCCACCCCCTCCCCACCAGGACTCCCGTTACAGCGAACGCCTTACCAGAACGACCCCACCAGGACGACGTACCAGAGAGTGGCGAGGGCGTAGGGCGTCCAACACCAGACGAAGGCCATGACGATGATGAAGGTCATTCGTAGGGTCCTCGTTCGAGCCCTCTCGATGTTGGACATGTTGCTACGACGCAGCTGGAGCCGGCCATGATACCCTCTCTTCCCGCGAGCAATCATCTGTCAGAGGCACATATAAGGAGGACTCCAAGGCGCGGTATATATATAATATATATATATATATATATATATATATATATATAATATATATATATATATATATATATATATATATATATATATATGTCGTACCTAGTAGCCAGAACGCACTTCTCAGCCTACTATGTAAGGCTCGATTTGCCTAATAAGCCAAGTTTTCGTGAATTAATATTTTTTTCGATTTTTTTTTTCGTAAGAAATGATAAAGCTAAAGCCCCTTTCATTATGTATGAGGTCAATTTTTTTTTTATTGGAGTTAAAATTAACGTAGATATATGACCGAACCTAACCAACCCTACCTAACCTAACCTAACCTATCTTTATAGGTTAGGTTAGGTTAGGTAGCCGGAAAAGTTAGGTTAGGTTAGGTTAGGTAGGTTAGGTAGTCGAAAAACAAATAATTCATGAAAACTTGGCTTATTAGGCAAATCGGGCCTTGCATAGTAGGCTGAGAAGTGCGTTCTGGCTACTAGGTACGACATATATATATATATATATATCTATATATATATATATATATATATATATATATATATATATATATATATGTATATATATATATATATATATATATATATATATATATATATATATATATATATATATATATATATATATATATATAGGAACTCAGGTAAATTAAACATTTTTAACTTGGCAATAATAGAACATTTAAATTGGCCAAGAGAGAGAGAGAGAGAGAGAGAGAGAGAGAGAGAGAGAGAGAGAAGAGAGAGAGAGAGAGAGAGAGAGAGAGAGAGAGCATAACCAATAAATTAATAAATGTACTCAACTAATATAGTCAGTGTTCATTAGGTCATTCATAGTGCTCGTGGCTAGTTATCGGGTGGGATAACAACCCGTCCTCACACTAGGCTGGTTAAAGCGGCGGCCGTGCTCCCCAGACACATTCATCAAATTTTAACATACTGTGTAAAATTGGTTTGTTTTCGTATTTAAATATTATCATACATACAATTTCTATGTATATTTATGCGTTGGTTAGGTTAGGTATTTAGGTTCTGTTGGCGATTATTTGTATTTGAAGTACGTGGTTGAATGTAATGTGACTATCAGGGGGAAAGTGCCAAGCCATTAAGACTATAGCACTGGGAAGGGGTCAGGATAAGGATGTAGGATGAGACGGACGGAGGGAAGGAATGGTGGCCAACCACTTGGACGGTCGGGGATTGAACGCCGACCTGCATGAAGCGAGACCGTCGCTCTAACGGCCAGCCCAAGTGGTTGGACGCATTTATAGAATTGTGGTTCGAACAGAGGATGTAAGCGAAGCACTTATTGCGCACGTGTTCGGACGTCATCCGAACGTCCGAACACATTCGGACGTGTTTCAATGTAAATGCTTCACCCACGTACTACAAATACAAATAATCGCCAACAGAACCTAAACACCTAACCTAACCTAACCTAACCTAACCTAACCTAACCTAACCTAACCTAACCTAACCTAACCTAACCTAACCTAACCTATGCCTATAGATGCACAAACATGCTAATATATTATAATATTATTTTATATTTGAGAAAATTCCCGTTATGAATGAACAGCATGTTGACATTTATGAATGGGTCTGTGTGTGGGGTCGACCGCTGGATGGAATGGACTTGAGTCGAGGACGGGTTGCATCAGAGCGGCATCGACAAGCCGAATTTAGGCACGTAACTATCTCTTATCTCTAAAGTGGCGCTCACTCTTGAGACGCGTTCTCATTGGCTGAGACTCGCAGCTATTAGTGTGCTCTGATAGGCGCAAGCTTTCTAGACCTTTCTGATTGGGCAGATTTGATTCGACTCATCTACGGTGCATGAAACGACTGTTGCGTGGTCCCTTAACAACTTTCTTTGGCAGATCTTAAACCTCGCAGGTTTAAGATCTGCCAAAGATCTTATCCTCACAGCTCACAGAGCCAGCTATATCCTCACAACTCACAGAGCCAGTTATATCCTCACAGCTCACAGAGCCAGTTATATCCTCACAGCTCACAGAGCCAGCTATATCCTCACAGGTCACAGAGCCAGTTATATCCTCACAACTCACAGAGCCAGTTATATCCTCACAGCTCACAGAGCCAGTTATATCCTCACAGCTCACAGAGCCAGCTATGTCCTCACAGCTCACAGAGCCAGTTATATCCTCACAGCTCACAGAGCCAGTTATATCCTCACAGCTCACAGAGCCAGCTATATCCTCACAGGTCACAGAGCCAGTTATATCCTCACAGCTCACAGAGCCGGCTATGTCCTCACAGCTCACAGAGCCAGCTATATCCTCACAGCTCACAAAGCCAGCTGTTATCCTCACAGCTCACAAAGCCAGCTGTTATCCTCACAGCTCACAGAACCAGCTATATCCTCACAGCTCACAGAGCCAGCTGTTATCCTCACAGCTCACAGAGCCAGCTGTTATCCTCACAGCTCACAGAGTTACCAATATCCTCACAGCTCACAGAGCTACCAATATCCTCACAGCTCACAGAGCTACCAATATCCTCACGGCTCACAGAGCTACCAATATCCTCACAGCTCACAGAGCTACCAATATCCTCACAGCTCACAGAGCTACCAATATCCTCACAGCTCACAGAGCTACCAATATCCTCACAGCTCACAGAGCTACCAATATCCTCACAGCTCACAGAGCTACCAATATCCTCACAGCTCACAGAGCTACCTATATCCTCACAGCTCACAGAGCTACCAATATCCTCACAGCTCACAGAGCTACCAATATCCTCACGGCTCACAGAGCTACCAATATCCTCACAGCTCACAGAGCTACCAATATCCTCACAGCTCACAGAGCTACCAATATCCTCACGGCTCACAGAGCTACCAATATCCTCACAGCTCACAGAGCTACCAATATCCTCACAGCTCACAGAGCTACCAATATCCTCACAGCTCACAGAGCTACCAATATCCTCACAGCTCACAGAGCTCAATATCCTCACGGGCTCACAGAGCTACCAATATCCTCACAGCTCACAGAGCTACCAATATCCTCACAGCTCACAGAGCTACCAATATCCTCACAGCTCACAGAGCTACCAATATCCTCACAGCTCACAGAGCTACCAATATCCTCACAGCTCACAGAGCTACCTCACAGCTCACAGAGCTACCAATATCCTCACGGCTCACAGAGCTACCAATATCCTCACAGCTCACAGAGCTACCAATATCCTCACAGCTCACAGAGCTACCAATATCCTCACAGCTCACAGAGCTACCAATATCCTCACAGCTCACAGAGCTACCAATATCCTCACAGCTCACAGAGCTACCAATATCCTCACAGCTCACAGAGCTACCAATATCCTCACAGCTCACAGAGCTACCAATATCCTCACAGCTCACAGAGCTACCAATATCCTCACAGCTCACAGAGCTACCAATATCCTCACAGCTCACAGAGCTACCAATATCCTCACAGCTCACAGAGCTACCAATATCCTCACAGCTCACAGAGCTACCAATATCCTCACAGCTCACAGAGCTACCAATATCCTCACAGCTCACAGAGCTACCAATATCCTCACAGCTCACAGAGCTACCAATATCCTCACAGCTCACAGAGCTACCAATATCCTCACAGCTCACAGAGCTACCAATATCCTCACAGCTCACAGAGCTACCAATATCCTCACAGCTCACAGAGCTACCAATATC